TCATAGTTAAATTGTACTTATCTTATGCTTGCTTATGCGATATTAATTGAATACTGATTTGGACAAATTGGTCAGCAGTACTGGTTTGAATTCGAATCTTGGCTTGCACTACCTAGCAGAGTCACTTCTGGTATATTCCTGCTTTGCCTTTTTTCAATCTATTAACTTGAACGATAATTCACTAAATAGGATTTACTTACAATAAATAATTAATTACATAATAGCAATAGCATGTGAATATTTGTAAATAAATCTGCCGTTGATTTTACATTAAAGCTACTAACTAATAAAGTAAGGTAATAGAATTCATATTTGTGTAAATTATAAATAACAATTAAGCAAAAATACTAATACCAAAAATTGATAAAGCAGTACCAAAAAGAAAATTAAAAAACTTTAATATTTCAAAATCAGATTATAAAAGAATATAAATTAAATTAATAAAAATCTCAAATTCCAAATATTATTGTTCGCTTATTTTTCAGTTATTTTAAAATGTCTAATTTTAAAAAACAAAGTAAAATTACTTCATTTATTACTATAGCACAGACTTCTAATGAAAACAACTTTGGCAAAAATCTTAACTTTGATAATTTTGAAAATAGTACTGCTACTAGCGAAGATTTCAATAATGAGCAAGATATGACCAATAATACTAAATTAGAAAAATCTCATTTTGCTAAAGAAAATTTAAAATGGAATCCAAATTGGAAAACAACTTATCCATGGGTTGATTTAGTAGTATGACAAGATAGAAAATATAAGGTTTGTACATGGTGTATTGATGCAAAATATAATAATATTTTCGTAACAGGTACTCAGTATTTTAGAGAACAATATCTTCAATAGCATATGGAACGATTTGATCATAAAAAGTTGTATATGCACATAGTAAAAATCAAGTTAATATTATATCTAGTATACATCAATGTGCTGAATCAAATTAATTACAAACAATGAGAAAAATGATGAATATTTACTTTCTTGTAAAGCATAATATTGCTACACTTAATTTTGAGGATCTATGTCTTCTTATTGAGTTACAAATTCAAAATTCTAATGAAAATATTATTCTGGGTGGTGCAAATCTTCTAAATTCACCTAAACCAACAACTACAATGAAATCTACACATAGTGAATATGGATCTTATATTAATGATCATACTGCAAGACAATTTATTTCAGCAATTGCACGTATTATTGAAGAGGCTACACTTAATGAATTACGAACCTCTAAAGCATGGAGTCTTATGATTGATGAAAGTAATACAATTTCTAATAAAAAAAATCTTGCTATTGTTTCATGACATATATCTTGTAATTTGCCAGTTTTTCATTATTTGGGTATTATTAAACTTCAGAGCGCATCATCAAATGCAATTCTTAATGATTTAGAGCAGTTTATTCTTGCTAAACATTTACCTCATGAAACACTTTATCATTTTGGAAGTGATGGCGCTAGTGTTAATTTAGGTTAATATTTATTTTAATTATTTATTTTATTATTTATATTTATTATAATATTATAATTAT